TGGAGTCTGGCTCAGAGGAAAAAAAAAAAAACAAACCACCAACCCTAAAAAGAAAAAAGATCAAGCTTCAACACAACTAAGTTCTTGGTAAAGACTTCTAACTTCAGTAAGAATCTCGCCTAAATAGAAGTCTAAACTTTTAGCTAAATTCGTGGCTGTTAACAGGGGTGTGTTTAAAAACAATTTACATTGGCTGAAAACACGCAGACTCATCAAAAGCCAGTCAGTCTATGACGTAGCTGAAATTTAAAAAAAGGAAGAAACACTAGGAATTTTTCAAGTTTCAGCAGTGCGTACGTATGAATTATTCAAACTGAAACTCAATTATATAATACCCTCCCAAAATCTCAGTTAGCTACAGCAGCACAAAATTCGTGGCGCTGTTTCAAAGGGTAACGACTGGCAGCACCAGTCCCACGGCAGGGCAGCAGCAGGCTTATTTGTTACATAGGTAGCAGGGATTTACATGGCATGTTTGGATTTACACAGCATATTTAGATTTTATGCAAAACTTGTGTCTGTATTACTCCTCCATCAGCAGGTGGTGGGAACGGAGCAGGTCCCTGCTGACCCGTCACAGTCACATCCAGCCACGGCACTGCTGAGCCACTGGGGACGACGGAGCCCAGCCAAAGCCACTGCTGGGGTAAAACCAGGGATAAACCTCCACTTTGCTACCACAGTGACCTTCGTTCCCCTGCTCCCTAGCTTTCCGTACAGCAAAGCAATGAGCACAGGGAAGAAAGGATCTTTTTATTTTTAAAAGCGATTACCACAAACCACAGTTCCGACCAACATATACTTCAATTACATTTCCAAACAGCACGCATTTCTTCACTGCTGCGGAATAAAACAACCACCCATGTTATTTTCACCCTGCTACCCCAAGGAAAGATATCCTTTAAGCACAGAGGCAAACAAATCAGCACTTGTGACTTGACAATCTAAACTGACATATTTATGCAGCAAATGCAAGCTTGTACTTTGCTCGGAGGCAAAACTCGGAGTTAAGGAAAATCTAGTATCACAGCAAACAATCAAGTCTTCAAATCCTGTCAGTAAAAGAGTCTGTTTTGTGGATAGCTGGGAACAGACAAGGAGAAACTGAGCGAGATGAAGTGAATTTGAGATTTTAAGCAGTCACAAGTCTTACTTTACAAACAACCTTTGCCAAACTAGGCAGCTGCTCTTAAGAAAAAAAACAAGGAAAACAAAATTGACTATACAGCTAATATGAGAGCTTGTTCTCTTATTTTTTAAGAACAATAAGCACCATTTCCAAGGCTTTTTTCTTACAGGAGACATTTCAAACAAATTAGGACTGTGAAACACAAACACATTCACCACACACTTCAGAGAGCTCACCCACCTGTACAAAAGCTCAGCTTTCATTCCAGCACTTAACCACATCAGAATTTTTCTAATCCCCTCCCCCCCAAGATGGAACTGGCAGATGCAAAATAGATAGGAAACATTTTAATTATTATTATGTAAACCGAGAAGTTTGGTTAAGAAGGAGATTTAGTGACTCCTCTAAGGTAAACCTTAACTATGCACTTCTGTAACAAAAAAGCCTGGACTGCTAAAAGGCACCCAGTTATCCCTGAAGGCTATTTGAGGCAACTACAGCTCCTTTCAGTTTTAGGGGTGCCAAGGACCTGCTCTCACCACTGTACCCAACCCCCCACTCCTTGCTTAGAAAACCCCATGGTGTGCAGCCCCTCAGCAGCCGAGGGGCTCTCGTCTGCTGATCCTCTCTTCTGCACCCCACTTTGAAGGAAGGCTCTGTTCAGTCCCTCAGTACGTGTCCCCAGCAGGCAGCTCACAAACACAGATGTGGGGTGACCTCTGTCTTCGGACTCAATACCACTAACTCAAGGTGTCACCGCTTACAGCAAAACCCATTTCAGCTCCTTGGGCAGGTGCACCACTCGCACGTTTGCAGTCTGTGCACAGCACGTCCAGTATCCCAATTACAGGTTGCACACTAAAGGCAGACACCACACGCCTCCTTAACGTCCTCCTGTTTTCAAATTCTCATTCAGAAGAACCTCACAAGATTTTAATAAAAACACTGAACCGCACAAACAATGAGCGTGTGGCAGCTGTTTGATCCCTTTACATGCACCAGTGCTTCTCCCAGCCCTGGGTTCCCTTCACAAAGGCACAACCCCACCAGGGCCAAGGCGGGTTTGTGCCGAGTGCTGTGCCTACTGCAGCACGGGCTCTGCTGCAGCACAGTCGTAAGCCAGGGCTTTGTTATTAAGACAGATTACACTTTTACATGGAACCGCCTGAAGTCATTTTAATTGTACAATCAAACAGCAATTACAAATACTTTCTTTGAGCCGTATTAGTAACGGGGTTTTCTGTTGGCTTTAAGAACTGAGAAGATTGTTTCCTCCAGAACAAGTATTTATCAAACAAGCACTTCAGTAAACACACCGTTTTTTGAAGTAAGATCCTTATGCATTACCACAAACCAGTATTTTAATGCACTCTGAGTATATTCCAGCTAGAAGGCAAGTGCAGGTTTCTAACCATCAGAGGAGCCACGGTCTGCAAAACACACTCAAACTCCATCTCATTCTGACACGAAGCCGATGGAGCCACCTACAACAGCAAGTGACTCTTCCAGCCATGTGCACCTTCCTTTCAAGCACCAACTTCTTACAGTAGTTTCCAGTTCTTAGAAACAGAAGAGCTACTAGACAAGGCATTTATTTTAACCTGCTTGGGTAACATTCAGGATTATACACAGTCAAAGAAAACAAGTCAGCTGGATTTTCTCACAGGGTGGTTTTGAATGCTGATCTAATTTCATGGGCAATTATTGAGCAGTCGTGTTCCAGAGAGCACTTATAACTAAATTTAAGTCTACTAAATATTCAAACCCATGAGCTTTCAGTTCTCGCTGGCACATCTGCTTTATTTTATTTATTGTTAGTTTGTTGGGGATTTTTTTGAGGTCTTTTGGTGTTTCTTTTTTTTTTTTTTTTCCCCAAATTGCCCAAACAATTTAATTTCCTCTGGAAAACCAGCATCACACATCAGAGCACATCTGGCTTTGTTTCCAATTTCATATGCTTCATAGAAAGAAAAAAAAAATTGTCAAAATCATGGTTGTACCCAGTTGGAAAACATCTGGATATGGTGTGACTAGTATCTGCCACCACCACATTCCAAAGGCAAAAGTAAGAACTAGGCAGGGAAAATATCCAGACTAACGAGAGACTCCTACAGCCTAGTGCCACACAGTGCCAATCCAGCATGCAGAGGGAGCTTTAAAAAAGCCCTCTAAATCTAAATTTAGAACCAACTTTCCCCTGTTTTAAGTTACAAAAAGATTAACTCTTAAATAGCACTATCAGAACTGTCCATGCAACAATTTAAATAATGGAAGTGCCTAAGAACCAAATAGATAAGGCATGGAAAATTAATCCCAGGGTAGGTAAGGAAGCACTTTCTCCTATGTTGGCCCTGCCCTAAATTTAGCCATGCTAAATTCCAGGACCAAAACCGTCCACCAAAGCTTCCTCAGGAGCTGACACTGAACTTTTTGGGGAGTTTAATGTAAACAAAGCAATGCACAGCCTTTGCAAAGACACTTTTTGGAAGTGCGGGATCTTACGCAGAGAAGCCGCTGGGTGTTTGTACCTCTGTATTCCAAGCAGCAGCCGAGCTCTCTATGCAATTCCCAGCCTGCAATTCCCTGAAGCTCCTGTCTCCATTTCCAGCTGTGAACCAAGGTCCAACACTGCACATCCTCCTCTTTCTTAACAGGCTCTTTTCTCGGGAAGAGTCACTGGCGAGTTCCCTTTCAGCATCAGTCCCTCACACCATTCCCATCAGCTTGCCCTGCTGTTTATGGGCACAGCTGAGATTAAAAAAAAAAACCACCATACACCACTACCTCCCAAAAAACCCAAAAGCTCCTGCACTTTTATGGTGGTTGGTTTTTTTTAATTTTGTGCATAACCATAACAAAAAGTACCAAGACCTACTGACTTTCAAGGAAGGAAGTAACACAGTGAGCACCTCTATAATACATGCATGCAACAACCGGCTGGAAAACCAGCGACTAACGCTACAAAAAGTGCCCTCACCCCCCTGAACACGGGGTGCCCCACAAAGGGCAACAATTCCACATCTTAAAAACCTGTCACTCAGCACAGCTCCCTCAAACAACAGTTTTTGAGCGTAAAGATGCTTCTGCAATAAGCTAATGTGCGTTAAAAAAAAAAAAACAACAAAAAAACAACAAACCAAAAAAACCCAAAAACACAAAACACAAAACAAAATGCTTGCACGGAAACATCTCTCCATGTCAGACGAGAGGCCCACTGGCTTCACTGTAGGAGGCTGAAATAGCTTACAACTTCTTCAAAGGCGCTCACGCGAGCACCACAAACAAGGGGAAGAGGGGGCGGAACGCCGCCAGAACCATTTCGGTTTATTTAGTACCTCTTCTTCGCAGCGGCGAAGAGCGCTCCAGGCTCCGGATCGCGCCCCAGCACGGGGCCGCCGCGGGGGTCCTCCCCGCACAGAGAGACGCCGTCGCCGCCTGCTCAGCCACCTTAGACCCCGCGGGACGAATTCCAGGAGAAACCCGGCTCTGGACAGCCCGGAAAACACCCCCGGGAGGAGGCCAGGCCGGGCCGGGGGCAGCCCCCCCCCACACCCCCGCAGCGGCGCCGCTCAGCCGCATCTTCCGACAGCCGCCAGGCAGCTGCCGCCAGCGACTACTCAGAAAATAAATCAACAAACAAGTGCGTTTATAAGAAGAAAAATTAAAGAAATATAAACAAACCCGAGCGCGGCGGGGCAGTTTCCCTCCGGAGCTGGCAGCCCGCCGCGGCAGGGGACAGCCGCTCCATACAACCCCCGCCGCCGCCCCAGCAGGCCCCGGTCGCCGCGACCCCGTCCCCGTCCCCGTGCACTCAC